CTAAATTACCAGATCGGAAATGAATTTTATATTCGAATGGAAAATTGTTAAATGTTATAATCTTGCTTCATACTTAAGTTACCAGTGTTTCACTTATATTCTTCCCCCGGGCAATTTAAATCCATGAAACGTTAGCCTCCTATCAATGTGAGAAAATCTGAATAAAGTAGCTAGCGTGTGAAAGTTTTCACAAAGTCACGGCGAGAGACAGTTCTCATGGACGAAATTGGAAAATGGAATACGATCTTTCCGATGTAATTTATTAACAACCGAAAACTGATATTAACATTAATATGCTTCAAGAGGCATACAATGATTAAACCTTTCGTCGTTTAATAAATTTCTTCAATTTTATGACAATTGACAAAATTATATAAAAAGATCATCTCTAAAGAAAATTGAAACTGCACCAGATGAATAATCTTTATCACTATCAGTCCTTATCAATGAAATGCTAGCTCGCCTGAAACGAGAGGCTTTAAAGGGGCCAAAGTACTCAGAATCCGATTGCGAAACTGAATTCTGCCCGTGGCAACGACCGCGTATAGTCTGACAAGCTGAAACGCTCGTTCAGATTCCACCGCGGCCAAACGCGGTATTAAGATTCAGTGGGCCAAGTACCCGGGCCCAGGAGACGCATACCGGTGAAAACAGTGATGCGAGCAACTTGAATAGCGCGCACGCTTTCGGTTCATCGACTCCTCCATCGATTCGTCCCTGAGAGGCCGACCAAAAAGGTTTCTCTTGCTCCAGATCTACTCCGATCTAGATCGCGCAAGAAACAATCACGCCTCTTTCCAAAATACAATCTCCATTCAGCATGAGATTAAACCTGTACCAAATTCTAAGACGTTAAGGGAACAATTTATGTACTGTCAGACGAAACACTATGCGCCTCGTTTTAAACAAACTGTGATGACACACGCGATACTTGCTATCATTCAGAACATTTTTCTATTTAATTTTATCCCTGCTTCCTATATGTAGCAAAGTTATGTGTAATAAATTGTCTATGTACATAAAATCGCACCGTGATTCCTGATCCTCTGCGTGGGAGGAACTTCGGAGGCGGCGAAACCACAGCTGCCGACGAAATCCGCGGATATCTTTTTTTTCGGGTCGCGTGTGGGCAGACACGTGCCTGTCTGACTTCGCCCGGGTTTCCCCGAGCCGGTGCCCATTTGCGAATATATCTTCGCGATCAGTCATTTGTTGCAATTAAAAATCAAGAAATATTACATTATAATACACGTGCCATTCTAATACGTTCGTACATTTGTATTCCTTTATAATAATTTCATTGAAGGAAAGGAACACAATGAGGCAAGGTTCATTGATTAATTACGTCAAACGAGCGAGAGGAACGCGACGGAGGTTTAACGGAGATCGGAATCGAGACTCTATTCTGATTGCGCAAGTTAGAAGGGAAATCCTTCGTCGATTACAAATGACGATCCAGAGACACAGAGTGTAAGTACGTACGTGCATACACGCAAGGACGTGAAATAAAATATCGAGGAATCTACGAGGCGTAAAGGCGCTGCGCGGTTGGTGCCTGCCGTGATTTATTAAACGCGTGGGCAGCGAGGGAAAAGAGATCAACGGTCTAGACAATTAATTAGAAGTCGCGTAATGAATGGAAATACTGGGAAATCGTTACGTCCACAGATACATACGCACCTCCGTTCATATTCTCATATGCCTTCCGTCTATTTAAAAATCTGACGTGTATCAGGGACTATCTCAATTGAAAGATTACAGTTAATTACACAGCCAATCACGTAATAAATCGTGTGAAAAGTCATACGGTAAATCACGAACACCTTCAATAAAATCATATTTCAAATAAAGATATAAGGGTTTGTTCTAAACAAATCAGAAAAATGATATTGATAAATAATCCACTGATTGAAATACCTGAGTTTATTTATTAGACAACATACGTAAAAGAAAACCGATATTAACTGTAAATCAAAATTTGATTTATGATCAAGCAGATATAGATAGTACTAAAGCATTTAAATTTAACGTGATACACCTTTTTTTTTATTCATTAAACTTTCACAAATTTTAATTCATCCACGTTTTACAATATAAATGTTAAGAACTGATGTACGCTATGCTATATCGCGAATCAGCTCTAACGGGAACACGCGTGATTTATGAATACCCGGGAGATCACGTGCGGGAGAGTATTTAAAAACGAAATTGACGTCTAACGAGTTAAAAGGAGTCAACGTGGAAGCATGCGTCGATATCTATAGATATCTGCATGTGTACTAAAACGGTGACGCGATAATTTATGATCAACACGCGTTTGTATGTTTACGAGCATTGAAAAGCGTGTAGGAAAATTCTGCGGAGACACGAGTTACATTTTTTCATTTATTGCTTCGTCTAGTCGGGAAATAAATCGCGTTAGATCACGAATTGAAATTAATGAACAATTAGACTGAACAGGAAGAATTGATTTGTTAACCAATTAACTACTTCATGTAATGAATTAAAGTACGTAGACGTAACGCCAAATAAGAATAATCGACTTAATAGCAAGATAAGCTTTTGTATTATTTATTTTACTAAAGAAAATGCAAACGTCAATTTTATTTCACAAACAAAAACCCGTGGAAAAGAACGATGAATGTATTAGTATTAATGACGATATTATCATGGGAATAAGCATTATTAAATCTGAAATAAGACATTGAACATGTCCCTGGGCAAAGGTACAAAATTCGCTGGATCGAAACAATTTTCGAATACTATTTATATTTCAATATAGAGAAAGAGAGGGAGAGAGAGAGGCAAAGAGGCGCGGCGACCTCATTACTAATTCAAAGGGCCGAAAACGAGCCGGAAGTCCCACGATCCTCCAGGGCTAACGCGCACGTCAAGAGGACAAAGTTTAATTCGATCCACTTACTTTACGACGGCTATCATGCGCGTTTTACTACTTTGCATTTATACAGTTCATTTCCAAGACGAACGGCACGAGATAATAAAACAAGCCACTCGGATATATTAATAAAGAGGAAGATAAGCCCGGTTCATTAATGCGGAAGATGCACAACATGTATGTACGTACACGCATGTATGTTAAGTAACGCGTCAATTGATGAAACATTTCACGTAATTCAATTCCTCCGTCTGTTAAATTCTCCCTACAAAGAGGGTTCGTTTAGCCAATTCCTTGAACTTGACATATGGTTGACTAAAAAAAGAGGGACACTCCAATTTCTTTCATTGAACATCTTAGAGTTGATCAAGTGGGCTAGCATTTATTTTAATAGAAGCTGCCGAATGTAATCATTCTTGCATTTTCCAGTTACGGATGATATTAGGCAAGAACATAGATAAACACAAAAATCCGTTATTAATGCTTATTTGCGGAAATGTAATTTTTATGACTCGCTTCTCTATAATCAAGCGATTAACATATTTGCTAAGATTGCTCATTCTAAACGAGATATATTTAAACCACGTTTTCCTAGAACTGATAACATTCTTATTATCCAATAAAGATACAGATGAATCGTTGATTTAACAACTGAATCATGTACTCTAAAACTTAGAATTGAGAGACGAAGAATTCGTTGTTTCCCACTACCAGTTCCTACGAACGAAGTAATTCTTAATTTCTCTAATTTTCAACACTGTACACGAATTTAAATGTGGAATTAAATCTGAAAGGCTTCCCTACTGAAATAACGGTAAGAGCAACAAACGGGAGGATGTCGTAGCGAGGAACGCGTGACACGAAGTCGACACTTGTCAAGGGACGAGCTACAAAGCGGTGGAAAGATAATTACGGACGCATCGTTTTCAACGAAATTTCCAGTCGCTCTTACGCGTATGCCGCGGCGGACGTGTAATTAAACCTTCCTCGCGGTTAACTCTACACACGCGAAAGAGTAAGACAATTAGAGCGATTAACTGTGGCTCTCTCCAAATGTGGCCGCCCCGAAATCCACGATCGTCGAGGAAACCGGTCTTTGTGTCGCAGCTGCGTTCAGACGACGCGGATGATAATAGGAAACGGCTGCAGTCGCCCGAGGATGGATTAGTGTCGCGGCTCCGCTCTCGTTTCAAACCATAATCTACTCTCCTTGTCGTAGTTCAACGGTTTTCATTCATCATCTGCGGCTTGACTGTATCGACGAACGTCCATAAATACGTGTCCACGTTTTTACTATGATATAATCTTGCAATGTGTTATCGCGGAGTAAAGTGGGTCAATTTACTTTCCTTATTTCCTAACATATTCGATAAATTATAATTAATAAAACAAGTGATATACGAATTCTAAAATATCTCCACAAATTATATAAAAATTGTACCTTGTAATAAGTTTTTAACTCAGGCAACTCATTGCTTGCAGCAAAAAGAAGTTTGTTGTGTCATGAACATGGAAAACCCACATATGATTTGTAATATTATTTATCGTTCGCGTGTATAAAAACTGGCGTCACGATTTACACGTGTGAATTCATTATCAGTTTATTACGCGTGCAAGTCCGAGTATAAAAATCTATATTATTGACAACGTGTAAATGAAATGTAAATACGGTCGATGAAGAAATGTAACGATCCGCAAAAATCCACACGTGCGCGAAAAAAAAATCATACATATTGGTAGCACAGTTTAATTATCATAAATCATAACGATTATCATAGAACGCCTGTCCCTGCGTTGACATATTAAAAACATGAGCTTACACATTCCTCAATCGAGAGAGGAAATGTGAATCATAAACGTAAAGATTTGTTTTAACCTACATTTCTGCTTGGCTAGCCGTGAAAATTATTTTCAACATGCGGTGCATAATTTTTTTTAAATAATAAGAAGGCAAATGGATTTGTCAAGTTTTTATTCGAATTCGAAAATTTAGGTGCGCATTTTCTCTGTATGATTGGTAATAAACAACGTTTGAATACGCACCTAACCTAGAATCGCCACGATGGCAAACGGGCAGGTAAAGAGCGATATTTTTCCCACTTACTTGCATGCTATCCGCCGAGATGATTTCCCCGGAAAATCGGCGAGCCAATTCGATGCCCAAACGCGATTTTCCAGATCCCGTGGAACCCAAAATTGCTAAAACTGGCACACGCGACATATCGAACACACCACAAGCACTCGTAGCTGGTTGAAACTGCGCATGTGCTACTCCGGTCCTCGTGCTCTCAGCGTTCCGTTCGCACAGACGTGTGAACCAGTGGCGGTCGATTTCGAACTCGCATCCATTTGAATTATAAAATTAATTTTATGCTCTTTTTTATAAAATCATCTCATACATAATGTACTTGAATTCTCAATGACGTACGAATCAAATAAAGCGTTATAATTAGTTGTCAGTAATGTACTTGATATACGAGCTGAAAAAAGTAACAGTACTATAAATACGCAAAATAACTGCACAATTACATAATATGTAGATTCGAGGACAACACGCGCCGACTTGTATGAAAATCTCTTTCTGTTATCGAATAACTCTACGCAATGTTAAAACGTTTTAAATTATCTTGTAATTTCTGATGCGCATGAGTATACACTTGATAATTATGTGCGCATATTACATTCCGCAACGCTTTACTTTTAGCTGATTTCAGTGCAATATGCAGATGAATCAGACTACATTTTGTTGTCTTGACTCCAAGTGTCTTTAAAAATTCAGGGACAGTCTATCATTACACAGCAGTATTGAACTTCAGTGACATCGTAAATATATATGATTTCATTAGATAGATCATACTTTCGTAACTAGTTGCATAATATCGTTTAACGAAGAATTTATTTTCTATATAAGTATAGGTTTACTGTACAAGATTTGACATCACTAGGTGACGACTAATTATAACGTTGACATAAATAACAATGAGATCTTATCATTTGTTAACACGATCGAAATGAATGTCAGCAGCGTATTGTGTAAGACCGTATGCATCTCGGAAAGCAATCTGTAATCTAATCCACATCGATCTAATTAAGCATGTATAAATCGTTCGTCACTTCTTTTTATCAAGGAACGATAAGAACTTGTCACACGTTCCGTTACATCACAAGCAATATTTTTTGGTATAAAACACATATGTACCTAGATAAGTATGTAAGATATCTGTTTAAATTTGAACAGATGTCCGATAAAATCAATGATGGCCTGATTAAATTTACACAACAAATTCTAACCGGTGATTAAGAGACGCTTATATATATATATATAATATACTATATGTATATATATCTCCTTAAAATTCGAGAATCCGTTAGACTGAAATCCCAGACAGTAAATAAAAAATCAGAATTTATATATTGGTCAGTGGAATTAAATTTTAATTATTCATGAAATTTGTCTGACGATCTAATGATCTAATCATAGGCTAGTAAGAATGTGATCTAGTTTCATAGTAACATTCAATTTTAATAATCGATTGTAATGTTTTGAGTAGCGTAACTGTTTACACAACGATAAAGACCTGCAGTCGAACAATACCTATGTTTGAATTTAATCCCTTATCATCAGATAACACATAATTTGCCTGTTAAATGTAGACTACGTACTTTATACAATTGCGATAGAAATTCAACTTTGCATTGAATGAGAGGCGAATGAATTGTGCAACACTTTTAATTATTCGGCTATCAACATAACGGCCTTGCTCTGTCGATAGCGTGTTGAGGCCGTCGGTTCTCGTTGATTCACCCGCACTGATTTCTTTGCGTCACGTGAACGTTAAATTTAGAGATCAGGCCACACTGCCAAAATTTGCCTACAAATTACATTGTACCTACAACTGTTATACTCTAGCATCTGTAACATTATTTATCTTCAGCGCATATTTGAAACATAGATGCTGCCAGCCGAATTGACACATTTTACAAGGTGTTTGGTCGCGGAAGACATTAGTATGCGCTACATAAACTTGTTCAGAGTACATTTTTATTCAACCGAAATAAATGTCGTTGGCAGTCATTATCATCGTACTCTGTTGCATAATGATTTTATTCAACACTATCTTTAGCGAGTCACCAGTCTATGCTATACTTAACCGAATATTCGTTTCCTTTCCTCTTTAATTTTCGTTTACAAGAATTTTTTTAAAAACATAATTAATTAAATAATTATCAAAATTTTATAATAAATCCAGAAAACATAGAAAATATCTGAAACTCATATGTAATTTTACTTATAATTTGTTTGAATCGATTAAATATGTCTAATACATAAGACAAATTATATTTGCTAGAGACAAGTCGAAGGGAATTTTTGAAGGTTGAACGAAGTTCTCGCCCTCCGACCTCGCGTACAATTTGTGTCATTAATTTCACACCCGATAAAAGTTTGCCAACGATTTCGCGTTCGGTCGTCTCCCCCGATTACACGCAAGCATTTTCGGGGTTCCGTTACATATATAATGTCGTTCGCTTTATTGGCAACGCCGATGCGATTCGTGCGCGTTGCCCTCCTCTGCTTTTCATAATTCTCACATTTAGCCGCCTAATCGCGCCCCCGGCCCCGTCCGAATACTTTGTTGACGCAACTGCACGGGAACTTTCCACAGGAAGCGCGAACAAAAAGATAAAAAAAAACTGAACGAACGCGAAAAACGAAGGAATTTATCTCTTACCTGTCAGGCTGACTTTTATAGTTACGTTTACTGCTTAATTCAATATCAATGTTGCTCTTTAATATCATTTGGTGACTGAAGATGACACAAATGAAAAAACGACAAAAAATAATGAGGTAAGTATGTGAAAGAAAAATGAGCAAAGGGGATGATTAGTCGAATGTTCATAGTTTTCGGCCACTGTTTCTCTTTTAATTTCTACTTTGGCTTACCTTCTCGACGTCGCAGTTCCGAATGTGTACCAGCCAGCCATTATCCTGGCTTTTTATGATGTCGAATTAATTCAACGAGCGAAATAAAGGCTCGTAAAGCCGGCGCAGGTCGTCGATCATAGCCGTTAATCGCCGTAACGTGATGTACGAGTGAAATGAAACGAGTGATTGTGGAACGTAATTATAATTCCCGTTTCTTGAGCATTTTTCTTTCTTCCTTTAAAACTTGCCCGAAATTATTTTGTCGTTACCAATTAATCAACAGAATTCTAGAACAGGGGATGAACGAGACTTACTGCTCGATATTAAATGTACATGTTCATGTCTCTATTTCTATTTGGATTTCAATATTGAATAGTCGTATGAAATATCGGAGGTAGAAATGGGATTAAGTGGATTCAGGGGTGCAATAGAGAAGAAACTCGGGTAAATGATAATAGCTTTATTCGTATAATAAGATAATTCGAAATATAAATGTGAAGGAACTATTTGACCCTTTTTCCTGAAAAAAAAAAAAACAAAAGAAACACCGAAGACTTTCGTTTCGCCTAATAGATCGTAAATAATTGCTAAAGAGAAACAAAAACAAACAATTTGCAGTATCACTTAGAACTTACAACATTGCCTTGTCATATAATTTCGTTTAACTCAAACAGTTGTCGAGCACAATTTCGTTTCGACTCAACCGAAAAACGATCAAACACCAAAACACGTTTAGAAACAGAATTCGAAGTCCGTCGAGAAAGAAACAATCATTCCTTTATAAAAATGGAAACGAGAAATAAAACGTTAAAACGTGTCGGACGAGCAATAATCTTTTTTTACTTCTGCTTCATAAATTTAAGTACAAACCCTACTTCCTTTCTCCTAGTTCCCAAAACCTTTCCTCTTTTCCTTATATCTCATCACTCTTTCGCTTTTATATCGTCTCCGCAATCTTATTACAAACAAGCATAATTTTTCATCTTTCTTCGCGTTTCGTTTTCTCTTTTTAATTTTATGTTTTATATCAATTTTTGTCTGTTGCATTTTTCTCGTCTTCAAAACCAGCCCCGGGGCCGGCGTGCCACGCGGGACACCGGGGCGGTCGTATCGTTAATATAATATGCAAATAGTAAATATAGAGATATAAATATTACTTCTAATATTACTATTTAACTTCTGGAATAAATATTACTTTTTCAATTTATTATCATCTATCT